CTCGCCCCCCCCCCCTGCACTAAGTCCCCGGTCTGTCTGAGACCCGGATGCAGAAGTCAGGACGCACCTCGTGGGCTCATCCCGCCCTGGGGCCTCAAGACGGCTGAGAGCAGGGGCGCTTTTCTGTGGGATGGGATGGCCTCTTTTCTGGGGTCCCGGGTCCCCTCCGTCCTCCTCACGGACCTCACTTTGACTCAGGCGGCATGTAGTCTCCCCTCTGCCCACCCGAGGCCCCGCCCCTCATCCCAGGACCCCAGTCCCTCTGAGACCCGGATGTCAGGAAATGCCGCCTCTGGTTATTCCGACCTATGGCCTTCAAGGTCTGACTCTGTTCTGGGGTGCAGGGTCCCTCACTGCTCCCACACGGTTGTCACCTTCACTCCCAGTGGGACCTGGGATTCTCTTCTCTGCAGATTTGAGTCCCCCCTCCCCCCCACTTGCACTAAGTCCCCGGTCTCTCTGAGACCACGGTGCAGAAGTCAGGACACACCACGTGGGCTTGTCCTGCCCTGGGGCCTCCGGACGGCTGACAGCATGGGTTGCCTTTCTGTGGGATGGCCTCTTTTCCGGGGTCCTCTGTCCCCGCCGTCCTCCCTCAGGTTCCTCACTTTGACTCAGGCGGCATGTAGTCTACCCTCTGCCCACCCGAGGCCCCGCCCCTCATCCCAGGACCCCAGTCCCTCTGAGAGCCCGGATGTCAGGAAATGCCGCCGGTGGTCACCCTGCCCTAAGGTCTCCAAGGTCCAACAGTGTCCCGGGGTGCAGGATCCCTCAGTTCTCCCTCAGGGTCCTCACTTTCACTCAGGCAGCACTGGCCTCCCCTTGGACCACCCGAGGCCCCGCCCCTCATCCCAGGACCCCAGTCCCTCCGAGACCCGCATTTCAGGAAATGCTGCCTGAGGTCCTCCCGCCCTATGGCCTCCCAGGACTGACTCTGTTCTGGGGTGCAGGGTCCCTCAGTGCTTCTTCGGGGTCGTCACCTTCACTCCCAGCGGAACCTGAGATTCTCTCCTCCGCAGACCTGAGCCCC